TCACAGGAAAGGTGCTCCAGCCCTCGGATCATCTTCATGGCCCTCCTCTGGACTCACTGCAACAGGTCCATGTCTTTCCTGTGTTGGGGGCTCCAGAGCTGGACACAGTACTCCAGGTGGGGTCTCATGAGAGCAAAGTAGAGGGGCAGAATCCCCTCCCTTGACCTGCTGACCACACTTCTTTTGATGCAGCCCAGGATGTGGTTGGCTTTCTGGGCTATGAGTGCACATTGCTGGCTTATGTCCAGTGTTTCATCCACCAGTATCCCAAGTCCTTCTCCTTTTTGTTCTGTTGTTTTTTCCCCTCAGGAATGGTTATAGCCACAAAGAGTGTATTAGAAACCTGTATTTATCCCTGCAGCTGAAGTTTTAAACACTGAGACCGCTAGGCATAGTTTACCCCAGGTGAAGTAAAAGTAAGTATTATTGTTGAAGGGGAACACGTCCCATGCATACAAGAAAGGTTTCACTTGAGAAAACTGAAGGTAAGCTTCAGTTCGTTAGAATTGGGTTTCCTGTTGTTTACATGTGGTTTTAGTTGATGTCACTTGTATTATCAGTTACATATACTGCTCATGACGTTGTTTCTTTAATGGAGTTTAACACTCCACTTTTTTTTTTTTTTTTTTTTAAAATATGAGTAATGTCCTGATCAGGATATTGAACACATTCCTCATGCATAGTTTAACTGTACTGTGGCAGGCATCACTCTGTCACACTCGCCATCCAAGAAGTGGCAGTTGTCATCACCACCTTTACCTTCCCTGCAGCAGAATTAGCAGGCCCCACTTGTTAGAGCATTTCTTCATTCCCTGCCGCCTTATCACCAAAATTCAGGTTTGTGTGTAGTTAGACATGCTTTTATCACTTACGGTGTAGAATACAGCAATAGAATATATACCTAGGCCTTCATCCCCTGGGAAATTCTAGATAATTCAGAACCTAATGGACTTCTAGTGGCATGGGCAACTGCAAATATTTTAGAGTCTTCTGTGCTCTCAGCACAGATTATATTAACAAGTTTGGGATCTTGATTTTCATACAAGTGTCTCAGCCTGAGCTCAATATATCCATGAGACTGAAAGTCTGAAATGATGATCGTGGCTGATAGTTTGGCTTCTTTGCCGCAAGGTACATAAAGATATTTATGGGGGAATGGAGAAGAGTAAAATAATCATGGTGTGAAGGGTCACCTTTTCAGGCAAAGCTTACCTTTCCATTGGCAATTGCTGCATGCGTTTTGCCTTTTTCATACACAAAGGTGCAGCATTGCTGTTCAAAGTCCTATGTCTTGCTCTGTGTTTCTGCTTCACTGTTGCTCATTTGCAGCTAACAACCTGACTAGTGTGTTGCACTCAGCCAAATGGCTTAGCAGCATCTTTAAAAAAGCTTTCTTGGATGCTTGTACTTTTGCCCATGCTCCACTTCATCCTCTGCGTGGTAGCTGGGTATGTCCCAGTCATCCATCTGAGCGCTCGATGCACAGCTGCTGGACTTCTATTGCTAATGTCTTGCTGAACATCAGCTCAGCCCACCCTATGGCTTCAGCATTTGCCAGGTTTTCATCTGCTTCACTAAGCGTAAGGCACAAAAGTGCTTCTAGTAACACTTCCAACAGCTTCTCCATCTCCATCTTCTATATATTGCCTTGATGCACGCCCACACAGCAATGGGATATGGAAGATAGCTTTATGCACCTTTAACTTGTTGAGAGATTTGCTTCTTTGCCAGCTCACTTGGTAATCCTTCAAGTGTCCTGGATGTGAGGAACTATGTCATTAAGAAAACTCCACTGGCATTGATAAAGCATTGCCAAAATAAATGAATTCATAAATGACTGGATGTTCAGTCCCGTTGATGGGTATGGAAGCACAATACATGATCTTTCAGTGACTGGTTAACTCTTTTTTCAGGCTGATGTTCCAAAACAAACCGTAAAGGCAGCAGAAGTTAACCAAAAGCAGACAGTCTTAATTGGAGTAGGCACCACGGCTGATCAGCACACCAGTGCTAACATACAAGAGTGCCAAACAGGCTGCTGAGGAAATCTGAAATACTGAGTGCAGTCTGGAGAGATTAAATGATCATTTGCGAGTGTACGTGCTTTAAAGGAGTACCGTGTGCTTTAAAGTTGCTGTGTACATAAGTGCCACTGTGCAGCATTGCATGAAAGGAATTGATTTTATGATGTGTCCCTTTGGACATTGGAGGAAAAGTGTCAGGTTGCCCTAGACCTTAATTCACAGTGAAGTTCAAATCTTGCTTTTGGCACCTGTCCTGAACTTGGCTGCAGTGTAATTTGTGGGCACTTTTTTTTCTACAAGTGGGAGAGATGCAGGCAGAAGCTGTTATCAGAAAGAAATCCCAGTGGTTATCACAAATAGGATTTCTCCCCTTTTGTGCACAAAATCCTGACAGTGAATTCATTCTGCATGGTTTGTTATCCAAATGAAAAAAAGAAAGTGATCAATCAGTCAAGAGCTGGAAATCAGTTTTATATTTCATCAAGAATGTGATCTGAGCCAGATGCTCTCCTGTCTTTCCTAAATGCCACTGTGTCGTCCTCACTGTTTGGCCGTCAGCTTCTTGTGTGAATGAAGAGAACCGGGTTTGGTCGTCAGTGCTGTTTTTATATCTGTCTGAGTCCTTTAGCGGGGCTAAGCATAAGTGACGAGCGGCTTGCAGAATCATCACCCTGTAGCTTTTGCACTTGTTAAACTCTGTCTGAAAAGTGCTGGGTTGAGCCTATGGACAGAAAGCTTAGCATGGGGCATGTATGGTTCTGAAAAGATGACAAAAAGAGGGGGAAGGAGCATTGGAGGGGACTTCCTGCTGCAAACTTGAGCAGCAAGTGGTAAAACCACACTGGGGAAGGGTATAATTTTCAAAAGCTCACTGGCACAATTCGTATCTTGTGCAAAAACTAGTTAATTTCTGTGTAGTGGTGTTTGAATTACCTGTGAAGTGTTTGGAAGGCGGAAAATGCTCTTTACAGATTTACCAGCTCAAATCTAAAGCCTGAAATTGTATTTGGCATCTAAATACTCTCTAAAGGGTTTGGCGTTGTGTTACAGCACAACCCAGAAGATCTTTGTTTTCTGCTGCTAAGCTGCCAGCCAGACCCTTGTAAGAACAGCTGATGAGATTTACCCTTGATTTAGGCACAAATCAAAACCAATGCTGCAACCTAGTCCAAGTTGTTGGCCCCATCTGTCTGTAATCAGAGGTATCTCAGAGCAGCTCTGACCCTAAATTGGTGACAGGCTGTTATTAAAAGTGTCCCTCAGTAAGTCCCGAGAGCTGTAGGTCATAGAAACAAAACAAACATAACTGCTGTATTTAACATGTTGGTGTGCAGTAGAGATGCAGTCGTTGCTGTCGGTCGTGGTGCTAAGGATGTCATTACGTGCTGCTTGGGTGATGTTTAAACTTGTCACTTTTTTCTTCTGGACAAGGGCTGGGGACACCTTATGTCACACCCGCCAACATGTGAGAGCTATTAGTAGGAGTATTTAAGCCAGAAAAAAACCCACCACGTACACCTTGTAATTATTTCGAAAAGCTTTATTCGGGGAGAAGTGCGGTGGGGAGAAGCGCGGTTGGCAGAAGGTGGCCGAATCTTACGTTCTTGGCTGTAGATGTGGACTTTGCTCGCAGAGAGGAGCGGGCGGCCCTCCTACTGCACGAAGTTGGAGCTAGAAAACCTTATAAAAACAAAGCCCGCCCGCCCTCCGTCTCTTCAACCTGCGGCTTTTGCCTCGCTCGGCCCCTGTCAGGAGGAGTTGGGGGCTCCTTCCCCCCCCACCTCCTACACCAGGTGTACCGGAGGGCCGGGCCCGACCGCGGGCCGCCCGGTGCCCCTCAGCGCCCCTCAGCGGGGAGGCGGGAGTTGCTCCGCGGGCCGCCCGGTGCCCCTCAGCGGGGAGGCGGGAGTTGCTCCGCGGGCCGCCCGGTGCCCCTCAGCGGGG